CCTGCGTCTTGGTTAAAGAAACATTTAAGTTACAACAGAATTTATATCTATAAAACCACATTTTAAATAAAATGAATAAAGAACAAACTGAACAAGATGACTACAGTGAAGAGACCTTCTAGGATGATATAAATGACATCTCAGATATTAATGCAGACGATTCTTTTGACCAAGTTTCTGAATCGTCATCTAGTAATATTTCCCAAGTTAGTAATTTAAAAAAGCATAAATCATCGGTTTGGCCATACTTTAATCTAGAAACAGTTAAAAATTTTGGAAAACCTGTTTGTCGAAAATATGGAACAGTATATAAAAATACTACTGGAGTTTCTACATTAAGGAGACATCTTAAAAACTACCAAATAGAAGCACCTAAAAAAAAGCAAACTACACTTTACATCTATTGGTCAGACCCTCATAATGAACAAGAACAAAAAAAAAGAAATGAAAAGTTAATTTTTTGGTTAATTGTAGATCAACAATTATTTACAATGGTTGAAAATCAATACTTTTGTGAATTTATAAATATTTTAGATCCTCGTTACATTGTTCCTACTAGACAAGCAGCAAAAAATATAATCATGGATGAATTTTATAAGCGACGTGAAAAGGTTAAAAACTATGTTAAGTGTATTCCAGGTAAAATCTCTCTTACCGCAGATATGTAGAAATCATTGGATAACGAAGCATTTTTGGGCCTTACAATTCATTATATTGATTCTGATTAGAAGCTTCAGCATTTTTTATTAGATATAGTTCCTTTTACAATTAAACATATGGGTATCAATATATCAAAAGCCATTAGTTGTGTTCTTAGAGAATTTGAATTAAGTAATAAAACTATAGTACTTACAACTGATAATAAATCAGCTATGATAACATGTAGTCATTTGTTAGCAAAAGAGTTAGAAAACGAATTTGATAATATTGGATTCTCTTACTATAGGTGCGTGGCACATGTCTTGAATCTGGTAGCAAAGCAAGAATTGAGAATGGTTGATTTAGCTGTAAGTAAAGTACGACAATTAATGGCAAAAATTAAAGCATTAGTTCATCTTTGTGATGAATTATGTATCTTATGTGAGTTTAAAGGAATTAGATATCTAAAAGCTGAGCTTGATATGGAAGTAAGATGGAATAGTACATTTTACATGTTACAAAATTTAAAAACATGGAATTAGCTTTAAATCTTCTTAGTGTTGATAATAACTCGATTGCTGAATTGTATTCTAATAATGACGATCAACAAAAATTACAAGTAAGTGAATAATCATATTGTGGCTGAAGCTAGAAATTTCTGTAGCTTTTTGGAATCATTCTTTGATTATAATTCAAGATTAATTTTAATA